TGGGCAGTACTCGGTAAAACCCACATTAGCTTAACGAACACATACAATGAAAAATACATTTCGTATTCATACATTATTATTATTATTATTATTATTATTATTATTATTATTATTATTTACACCCAGATATTAGCATTGTAGAAAACCTTATGTACAACAAATCAGCACAGATTTCACTGAGAAATTGATTCTGATAGACAAGTAGCTGTCCAAGGTAACTGCTGCTAAGAGTAGCTTCTTTGTTCTACTGAAAGCTGCACTACTAAAGGTACTATAATCGGGTTCCTGGTGAGTGTTTATGTTTACTTCCTTGCTGATGCACATGAGCTCACAAGAAAAAAACAGGCACACAGTAGATTTGCCCACCAAGATGACCTTCCATTGAGTTTAAAGCAATTATTTAAACTGTTGCAGCAAGAAAGCTGATTAATCAAGACTGTTATCATGCAGCTTGGGCCTTACTCCCCCCTTCTGACAAAATTTAGTCAAGGTCTGATTATCTGATGGTTCTAAAGATAGTATTGCCAGATTATCCTGTTGTGTGAGTTGTATTAAGAGTAATTCTTTTCTCCGTTCTGGGGAGATGATAAGAGCCTCCCAAACATGGAATTGTAAATATCAAACATGTTGAAATTTTACGATAAGAGATCCTAATGTGTGGGGGGATCCCCAAGAATGGACAACTTAGCTCTCTATCCATCATCTCGTGGAACAACATGATAGCCAGTTTGGAAACAAACTAATTTGAAGACCTTTGAGTGTGAGCTCAACTTAACTCTGCTGCTTGTATAGTGTCCAAACATCGACAAGGTGCTCCAACAATTCTGACATAACCTGGAACCTCATCAAATACTATTAGGATAACAGTAATTATAGTGGCAACACTGGCAAAGCATGTGAATGATGTTGGCTTGTGTTTGAACAACTCCCCACAATGTTGTTGGTAACACGAACTAATTACACTAATGATGTTGAGGTATCAAACAATGATATTTTCCCCTTTTTAAGCCGGATCACTCCTGTTGCTCTTTCTTTCTTTTCTTTTTTTTTTTTTTTAAGCAGAGAGGAAGCACGCCCACAGCCTTTTCAGCAGATGGAAATAACCTTTCCAGATTGTCCCTGCTGGAGATATAATTATCTCAACAGCTCTGGTCGTCAGCGGAAGTGTTTAACTGACCCCTCGATTCGTTGCAGGGTCCCCTTGTGACGCTGGTCTCCCCATGGTAACTCATCCTTCGTGGTACATACAACCTTGAACAGGAAATCAAAGAAACATGGCTGATTACGTACAGTAAGTATGTGTCAGTCATGATTTTCATGCTACCTGATGGTGAAGAGTACAAGGTCTGATTGGATTCTGGTTTAGAGTGAATCACTTGCCAGAGCTGTTTTGCTTGACAAAGCTGATTCACAGCTATGACCCTGAATCACACTGCTCTGTACTTTCTGCATAGAAGAAAAATCCAAGACACAAGAAACTGTGTTCTGCCATTGCACTCTGAGACCCCAGGCTAAACGTTTGATGTGCCAAGCTGTTTTGCAGCATGACAAGCATGAAGAAAGTCAAGCTGATGGATGGGCAGCTTTTGAATCCTACTGTACAGGGAGCCTACATGTGCTTTGTTCAGAGAGTTCATGGGTAGGAAGTGTGAATGATGGGTGAAGGGAACCATTTGAGACTAACAATTCTTGATTGAGAAGAAAAAGGCTCTCTACTTAGGGGGAAAAACAGAGAGGAAGAGAGATTTTGGAGGTGGTATACTGTCCATTCATCTCTGGAGGCAAAGGGAAATAATAGGCTTCAACAGGGACCCACTTATGTTGAGGGACTCAAGGGGGCAGTGAATTCAACTTTTTTCTTTATGAAGACATGTGATTTATGTTCCTGTTCAACAAAGTTTAAACCAAGGGTGGGCAGGGGCAGATCAAGGAAGTTTTTAATGGCGTGCCAGTTACCTCGAAAGTCTATTGTTGGAGCTGGGAATTACATTACACCCAAGATGACGGTGTTCTGGTAAACAAATTGGAAATTCAAGATGGACGCCTACTGTTAGCCATTGTTAACAATTGTCAGCTGTTGTTAGTTGTTGTAAATAATGCATAACACAGTATTTCACTCTTACAAACACCTTAGCACCGTGTTCACAGTTAGACGTTGTGCAGTACAACATATACCACTTATTTAATTTTACAAAAACAAAAAAGAAGTGCTCATAAATAATACAATACAAGAGCTTTTAGTGTTACTCTTTACTGTTGATGTACTGCGCTGCCATCTTGGATTATGACGTTGTCTTCAAGTCAGGGTTGGTGAGGATAATCTGACTTTCTGAGTCGGAAATTTGACTTGAGGGGGGTTTTCCAGATGAATTTCCGACTCAGAGCTTGGAAATCTCAACTTCCGAGTACAACTGGAATGCAGCATTATCCAAGGGTCACATTTAAATAATTTGTAGTAAAATGATAAATGAAAACCACAACAAAAGTTAGTCAGTACTGGTTAACAGAAGAAAATGAACCTAACAAAGATGGAAAAGTAAGCAACTCGACATGGTGTGAAGAGGCAATAAGTTACTTAACACAGACGATGGATGCTAACTGCACGAAAATTGATTTAAATAAGTCAATTAATGTTAAAGTAATTCTCAACCAGTAATCCTTGTTACACTCCTTTCAGTGTCTGCTATTTAAATATAGTAGACTATACAGCCTTTCATGTTCTTAAAGGTAAATGACTTAAACACACTAACATGTTTTGGTCCTCGCTACTGCATCAATGAAAAAAATAGTGTCCAGCTTTAGCAGTCACACAATGGCCTCAGGACAGAGCAGTAGCTAGTCACAGGAGAGTTTTATTTAAATCCACACACAGACAGGTGATTGTCATTGTTTGTCCTCCAGCCAATTCACATTCTGCACTCATGATTGTTTCCAGTAGGATGCTGGTATGTCTATGACTCCACGTGCCTGCATCAGAGTGGTGTGCAGGATTAATCTCCGAGCGGGCGCATGAAACCAGTTCATCACAGGCACATGTTGTACACACTTAGAGGAAATCAAACTTTGTTCAGCTCGAGCTGCAGTTCATTGCAGGTCAACATGGTTCCAAAATGACTCAGACAGACAGACAGACAGACAGACAGACTATTAATATCATGGGCTACTTTCTGTGTGTCACATGACAGATCTTACAATGTCTGAGTATTACTTTGTGTTGTTTTGGTTGATTTTGAACTCAGAAGAGCTGATGCCATAGCCTTCAGCACAGTTTAATATTCAGCTATATTCTTTTAGAAACCTTGCCAAAAAGAGGTGAGTGATTACATCAAATTAAATCAAATCAAATAGCAGATCAGTGTTATTGAGTTAAGTCCTTGATTTTTTTGTTTCAGGTTAGCAGGTGCGCTGGGATAAAACTGAAGAAAAGACCTTGTGACTAAATTAATCTCATCCTTTCTGAGTAAATCTCTAAAAGCAATTCATTTGATCAGGGTTCTTACCCATCAACTATCAATGGAGACAGGAATAAAAGAGCCCAACAATGTAAATGAGAGTAATGGTTTAAACACATGTGAAGCAGTGACGACAGCACCTGGTCACAGAAAAAGTCTTTATTCTGCTGCACCTGAAATCACACAAAGCGACTAAATTTAAATTTAATATATATTCTTTTCTTTTTATGTACTACAAAGACACTTCAACGCCAGCAGTCTGACATGAGAGGTTTATTGACACAAATATATCCGTCAGTCAGCACCTCTGTCTCAATGCTCCACTTCACTTTTATGACCTAGAACAGTATGTGAGAAGCCAACAGGCAGGAATAGAAAAGTGTGAACAGGTCTGGCTGGTCTGCTGAGTTCCTGCTGTCTGAAACTTAAGTGTGAACCACCACAACAATGCTTTCAGGTAACTGACACCTCAGGAAAAGTCAAACGTGTGCACACCTGACAACTATGTAGGCCATGTGTAGGGACTCCTTTAGGGGTTCGTGTACTCTGTGTACATTTTTAGCTCAGGCTGTATAGAAATAGAAAAATGGAGGTCTCTTAAACATAACACCACACTTATATTCATTAACACCTGCAGTTTCTAAAGTACAACTCTGAATTTAAAGGCGAGCTGCATCAGAGGGCTTATTTAATGAAGCAAACTATGAATATATGCCTGAGTGAAGCTCTCAAATTGGAGAGTGCTCTGGTAATTGCGTTACGGAGATCCTCTTTTACCACATGCTATCTGACTTCCTGCAGGTGTCACACAAGGCAGCTCCAAATTGCTTGCATTTCTATTAAACATAAATGTTCTTTCAATAACAAGCAGAGCCAAAAAGTTCCCTGGATGACAACTAGAAAAACAGCAGCAACGTTAAAACTTGGTGCGAGAAAGTTATCCTAATAGATGTGTTCATCTGTGCACAGTTATGAGTCATAAAAGGAGAAAGTTTTGTTTAATGTGGGTGTTTGATTCCACGGCACCCTGGTATGCTTCTTTTGTGTCTCAGGCAGAGGTTTAATGATGGGAAGCAGACTCTGGCTAGTGTGTTTTGCTGCTCTCATTATAGCTGAGACAGTTCAAACGGTATACTAATGAGAGCAAACACAGATTGTTCTCAGATTAAAAAAATCACAGTCACAGACAAAGGTTTCAGTTATTGTATTTTCTGACAAACACATCTGAGAAAATAGAAAGAGTGTTTAAACTAACATACAGTTAGAGAAAACACACCACAATCTGATCCATCAAGAGATATTCTTTAATGTGAGCGTGGATACAGTTTAACGGGTGTCGAGATCTGTCCTGTGGGACTGCTTAGCTAGAAAAAACAAACTCTTCCTCAAGCTTTTTCTTTAAATTGGTTTGCAAAATGGGTTGAGGATGAGGATGACTCATTCTCTTCTTCGTCTTCTTCTTCCTCACTCATCTTTATTGCTGCTCTGCCTGGTTGCCATGCCCACACGGATGCACACAGAGAGCAGGGGGTTAGGTAAAGCGCAGCTCCGGCCATGTTGTCCTTCACTTAGAGGGAAGCTAAAAGGCAGAATCAAAAAGGAGCAACAATTAAAGGCTGCCTGGGCAGTGGAAGGTCTGGAAAAAGGGTTGTCTGTCCTTTAAGGGAAGGTAATATTCTCTTAAAATGCTGCCATTAGTGGGAGAAAATGAGCTTATGATGACTCACCTTCCTACTGAGTGAGTGTCTTAAAAGCATAGTGCAAAACTGCACATTATTCCGAAACAAAGCGATTGAAACCAGCTAATGACTTATTTGTTCCACCCTTAATGCAATCATAGCTAATTTTGAGTCATAATTTTGAGTCATAGCCACGGAGCTCTTTCTGTAGCCATCTTTGGAGTGTATGCAGCTTTCTTGAATATGTTTACTCAAGCAGTCTGAACAATTGAGAGCAAAACTGTTTAGAGGTACAGGATGTGGACATGGGAATATTTAGTGATTGTAGATTAAAATGCTCTCTTGCTTACCCCTCCCACTGATGAAATTCCCAAATTGACTATAGCCTTCAAAGATGTGGAGCTCCTGGGATGCATGACAAGAGCCAAAGCCGGTATCAGGGGCGGCTTTGGCTCAGTGGAAGGGTCGGTCATCTCTCAAACAGAGGGTCAGGGTTCAATCCCGTGTTCTGCTGTGCACATTTCTGAGTGTTCTTGGACTACACACTAAATCCAGTACTGCTTTGGCTGTACCCTGCAGTGTGTGAACGGGATCAGTTGATAATGATAGGTGTTTTTGCATAGTAGCATCTTCCACCAGTGTACGAGCGAATAGTTGAATGCCACATGTAATGGGAAAGCGATTTGAGTGTTCAAAGGACAAGAGAAAGTGCACTAAAGACACAGTCCATTTAGTCCATAAAAACACTCTCTTCTTCTTTGTCTTTCAACCGCACAATTTCCAGACACCAAGACACGTGCAGCCGTTACCAGTTTGTCCTGTCTGTGATGCGTTACAAACATTGTGGTACAAGATAGTGGCCCCTGTGAAAGGAGACCCACTCCTCATGTTAACAACAGTTGCGTACGGTGCCTCTGTACACGTTTGTGCAGACTAGCAACCAACAATTTAGAACAATTTTTGTATTTGGCATTTAAGCTCCAACCTCATCATTCCTCACAAAACGTAACAGAACATTCAGAAACAGAGGAGCGCCGCTGCCTGCATGGGGTGGTGGTGCAGCACTGTCTGAGGGTAGCTGAGGCATTCATAGATGTATAAGAGTAGAAATTCTTGTGGCATAATTAGACCGCCTTACTGGGAGGATATGTTTGTCAGGGGATGTTGGAAATGTCTCAGATGTAAATCAATTAAAGTGTGAGTTGCCTGCCTAGACTAGCTCAAAGGTGTTGCTCCATTTAAAGTTTTTTTTTCTTGTGCCTATATACTCTTCTTGGGTCAAACATGTCAGAAGAGCAAATAAAACATGAAAACATTTTCCTCAAAAAACTCTCATCTTGTCAACTACTGCATCAGCCTTACCATGTTTTTATAACATGCATTTTCCTAAAACCTTATATGTGGCTCAAAGCTTTTACTTATAAGAACATTTCAAACCATATCAGACCAAAAATTAGTTTCAGTTTTTAATATAATATGCCTGTTGACTATCAACTGCTTGAAGATTTGTGTAATCAAACACAAATCAAGCTCTCTTGAATAGTGACGCAAGCAAGCAGAAGCAACACTCTTTAAAAGGTTTTTTGTTGTGTAACTTAAAAATACACCAACATCATGCTGTTTTATGATTTGATATTGCAGACAAGGGTATTTCTATCTGCCTTATATGTGTTCTTTTCTTGAGATCAAAAACTGCTGAACAGTGTGAGTGACAGCCTAAACAGAAACTCTGTTTATTTATCAGACAGCAGCCTGACTGTCCTCTGATCTTCTCTGCCCTGCTGTTCTTTGTAACACAAGTCCATTCTGGCTGTCTGTGTTATTGCTGGCAAAATAGCTGCTATCAGTATTCAAATGTGGGCTGAGGAGAGGACTGGATTCTCCAAAAACTTTAGCTTGAATAGCTGCTTCAAAGTAAAAACCTTTCAGCGCCTCAGCTTTGCTCCTTTTCCACTAAAACATGGCTGACCAATATATATGAATCAATGTACAGTAATCCATAAGAGTGTTAACAACCCTATAAACATAAAGTAATTATTTTTCTTTATATGTTACATGGTGTAAAAACATAATATCAGACTAATGGAACATGACAGCTCGAAAGCTTCTGGCAAGCTAGGTGTTAAGCCATAAAGGGTCTATTCATTACTTTAAACAAGTCTGGTCTACATTTAGTAGATTGCATAACTAATTTCTGTACAGTGAACACATCATGGAGCACAGACCATGGAAAATAGGACCTTGTTAGAGAGGCCATGCTTTGATGAGTGTAAAGAACAGTAATACAGAAGTTTTTATGTTTAAAATAACAGCAGCAAAAAGATAATGTTGTCAGTATTGACCTCAAATCCACAGTTTTGGACGGTTCAAAACCAGCTAAAAGAAGCTTGTTTTATGTGGCATTTTTGATCACTCATGGTTGTTTTAATTCTGCTGAAGGACATCAGATGGTAGTGGTTTGTTTTGCATACACTTTCTTCATGCATGAACACTGGGGTCACTCTCTGAGTGCTCTCCCAGCACTTAATATGGTGTAGATGGTTTAAATGATTCTCTAATATTGTTTTTTTAAAAAGAAGAGTATAAAGGACTTTCCAATAAAGATAAAATGTTTGGTTTTTTACCATCTAAGAACAACCAGTTATGGTGTGATGAGTAAACAGCCTCCGGGAATGACAGTTTCAAGTAGAGCTCACCGGGACTTACCTCTGCGTGTTCTTCATTGTTAACAAACCAGTTACCGACCTGAGAAGGAACAGTGTGTTTTGATCAAAGCTGAAGCAAAATGCACCCCTTAAGATGTAACTTCAAAGCAAAAGGCTGCAATTCTTCTGTTCATATAACTGAATGCCCATTTATTTGTTGCTTATAAGTCTCAGCCTCACTGTAAAAGGTAAATTACGCGCACACACACACACACACACACACACACACACACACACACACACACACACACACACACACACACACACACACACACACACACACACACACAGGCTTCAATAGCTTACATCAACAGTATGAACCCAAAAACAGGTGATTTATTAATCGTGATTGTCATGATGCTGGTTTGTAAAATTTACATTGCTCTGTCAAATCCATGAATTGAGACATAATTTTTACACAGCATATTACTAATTTTTCATCCTATTCATACCCAGAATATGAAGTCAGCATCACCAGGTCAAAACTTTTATTAAGACACAAATAAGTGAAATTGGTTGCATTAACAAGGAAATATGACATCCTTTGTTTCAGAGGCTGACTTTATTCAGAAAGTAACACATAAAGTTCATGTCCCCAGTTCAGGTAACAAGTGTTTGATCGGAGGCCTGACATGGTAAAGAGACAGAAAGCTTCTGTTTTATAGGTCAGTTGAGTCATGTGTTATGAGCAACGGGGGCAGTTTCATACCACTTCCTGTCACTTTACATCAAATACCATCAATGTGACCTTGCTGCTGAGACCAATTTTGTGCTGAGAGTGTCGTACCCACAGCTGCACACTGCTTTAATGAAAATGCACTGAAACATTTTGTGCTCTTAATGCCAAACTTATTTTTTCCACATGAAAGAGTGTTGTGTAATTTATCAGCATGTGATGATTTAAATCTGCCCTCCTACATACTGAAACATGTAAAACAGTTTTGGACTACAACAAAATTGTGCCTGGGTACTAATCCAGTTTTAGAGGTCTGTCAATGATAATGACTCCAGCAATGTGAACATGTCATAACTAACCCAGCCATCATTCTTATTTTTTTTTACAAAAACACTGAAGCAAGCCAACATTAGTGATCATGTGGGACCTCAAAAACTGGATTTTACAGAATAAAGTTTGGGTTGATTAGTTTTTACTGTGAGCTCTTATAGCAAAGTCTGAAGTGTGTTTGTGTGTCCATCCTTCTGCTCCGTTTTGATTCAGGTTCAGTATCCTCAGCATAGCCAACAGTTATACAGTTATAACAGCAACACCATTCAAGACTTTGCCATCCAGTGGAAACCTTTTCAAATCAACTCAAATTTATTTATATAGCGCAGAAACACAACAGTCGTTATCCCAAGACGCTTTCCAAAAAAAGAGCAGGTCTAGACCACGCTCATTGTTTGATGAACTAACAAGACCCAATCTTAAAGGGATATTCCGGCATAAACTTAATTTAGGGTCAAACACACCGTAACACTGAGTTAGAGACCCTCTTGAGAGATGAATGTTGCCGACCGCTTGCTTCTCTAGTTATATCAACTTTAGTAATGAGCGCATGATAACAATACACAGCGGTCTATGGAACCACACACAAACCTCAACCAAAAAGCCACTCTATAGCCACAAATTATGCTCAGAACAGCACCTAACTTCATCAACAGTACATATAGGGTCCCAGCCATAGTACTAGCCACCAAACATCTTTTTCACTTTGCCTTATTTCTTTAACAAAGAGACTAAACACAACTCACTTAATCTCATCCAGCAGTTGGTATAACTAGAGAAGCAAGCAGTCGGCAACATTCATCTCTCGTGTTGGTGTCTAAACTCAGTGTTACAGCTTGTTTGACCCTAACCTAATTTTACACCGGAATATCCCTTTAAGATGGGACAAATTCGACCCATCTCATCTACTAATGAGTAGCAGTTGGTGAGCGTGCAGACACACAGGCATGAGCTCACCAAATGGGGAAACACATCCAGGTGATTCACTTGTAAGCTACATCATCAACCCATGTAGATAACCATTGCCAGGTCAGTGAGTGAACAACTGCTAGGGAGCAACACCTGGCCGAGACAGCACCAAAACACACAAGATTGAATACACAGACACACAGAGAACCACTGCACAATTCACAAGCTCTAAAATTTGCATTAAAATATAAGTAGTGCAGCAGTTGTAAGGAAAATTTTCCTTTTAACAGGCAGAAACCTCAAGCAGAACCAGACTCAACAGTGAACAGCCGTCTGCTGCCACCTGATGAGCTGAAAAAGTGAGACAAAAGGAAATTTGATGGATATAGACAAACAATTAAACCCAAACCGACTAATCTGTAATTCCCTCAGAGGAATACAACAAAAAAATGTGGTACAAGTGCAGCTTGAAACAGTGTTTAAAAGCCTGGGATGATGTAACAAAGGTAGACTCTTACTTGTTTGTCACTTGCTTCCCTAATCTTCATTCACATATGTTTCATTGTTCTTTTCATTAATCAATGTTGCTCTAGTTTGCCTCTATTATCGCAGCACTCCATATCAGGGTTTCATTTATGCACTGAGTTAGTTCACACAGAGTAAGTTAAGGCAAACACATGGTCTTGAATTAGTTTTAGTCACTTTTATTACGTCTTCATTTTTTTTAACATCATAACTATTTGATTGATGTCTGTTGTAATCTTTGGATGTTCTTTTGTTAAGTTCATCATGTGGTCCTGAGGAGGCAGCCCAGTATTTCTTGTTTTTACAGGACTGGTGAAGTCATCATGGTATCACAGGGTCAGACCATTTTTAGAGGATTTCTTAATGTTTTCCTTTGGTTCATGTCATGCAGCTTGTGTTATTTTATGGTAATTGTCTTGTTCCGAATAGTCAGAGCGTAAAAGCTCCAAAGTTAATTCCTGAGATTGCTTTGATTCCCTTATTATAAGAGTTTTGCTAATGGTGCACTCAGCTGCAGCTACTTTGGCTACATGTCCAGCTTATAAAGCAGGTAGAAGTGGTAGTGCATTTAACACATGCCTTGGTTTGATTTAATGATGAATGATTTTACCTTTTTGGGATGCAACAAGTGTAACTGAAAATCGCTGAAAATACATACTCACCTCTTTTAAAACTAGAAGTCTGTTGAGCTTCTGTACCTCCTTCCTTGATCTTCCAATAGATAGCTCTAACTGAAAAGCCTCTCACCTGGGCCATGGGGGGTGGGGGGTGCTGGGAGAACTGGTCGCCCCCATGGCCCTCCTTAAGTGCAAAAATAGTGGTTGAGCATTTTCCACCAAAAAAATAAAGCTCTTCAAAACTCACTTTAACTGAAACGTCTGCAGGATGTGTTTCTCATGGTCTGTCTGCAGCAGTGCATGGCTTAGCTTCTGTGTCTACATACAGTACAAGGACCTTGCTTGCTTAAACTGACTGTACACAGCACACCTACTGATGATACATTTCTTATTAAACTCCAATCCTTTAAAGCATTTAAGCTCTTTCACCTTATGCTACCTTTTAAACAGCTTTGAAAGGTTATGTCGGAGGTGGGCAGAGATCAATACGTTTCTCCACAAAAGTGTAATGACTTAAAGATAATTGATGGTCACAGAGAGCTCATCCTCAGACAAAGGCTAAAACTGACCTACTCGTGCATTATCTATCAATGAACAAGACATGTTGCTTCACTGATGTAAGAAAGCCCATCTGCATAAAGCTCAACCTGCCAGTCAGCAAACATTAGATATGATTTCAATGTTTTTTTTAAATAAATGTGTTACAAGAACTTTTTGTTTTCCCATAAAACATTTGAAAAATAGGCATTTAGATATTTCTGTAAGTTTAAAACCCATTTCAGTCAAGACTATCGGCTCCAGTTTTCCACCCTGTGACATCTGATGAATAATGCAGCTTTTTAAATCTGAATTTAGCTGAAAGATGCGTTTGCAGAATCTCTAATATTAGTGTTGTGTTCCGCATGAGGGTTGATTTAATTATTGAACCTGATTGTTCCCCATCTCTGCCATCATCTCTGACGTGTTGTTTACGAAATACAAATCAAGGGTATAATAGAGCTGCACCCACCTGCTCACTCACCTGCATATAAATGGGGATATTTAGCAAAGACAAAGCTGCATCTCAAAGAACCTATAAGCAGGTCTTTTTCTCTTTTCCTGCAAATCCTTTTATTTCTAAAGGACATCTTATGATAACTCAGTTCACTGAAGTTTACTTGGAGAACATTTGAGCTGAGCCAGTAACAGGCAAGGATCAGATTTAAAGCAGTTGCCCAATTTTAGACCTGTGTACTACGTCTTAAAGACGGTTTTGTAGGGCCTAAGTTGTTTGTGTAACTTAAGAAGAGACACTGTGTGTGCTGGGTGGGGGTTGCTTCAAACACAGTAAATCACCGCTGTATCTGTTTGATGCTTTTTCGTCTTTGGAGCACTAATTATACTGAGAATAAACCTCTTACTTACAGATGTTGCCATAGCAGCAAGATCAGAAACACAACTAAAACAGACTCTTACTACAGGGAGGGAATAAGAGACATAATGATGAAAAAAAATAGATATATGCAGGCAAAACACTTAACAAATAAACAAACACAAAACAAAACAAACATTAAAAACCCACTTAAACACAAATTATTCAGTCCATTATGGTTCTTATAAGAAATTCAAAAGAAAAAATGCTGAAATTGAAAAATGTTTTCACTTTGTCACATCTTGTCAATCATGTTTTCTCTGTTTCCTAAAATGCCAACACCGAAATGAGAAAAACATTTAAAATAATTTGCCTTCCAAGTTTTGTGGTGACGAACAAACTTGTGAGAGTAACCAATTAGTTCACTGTTCTGTGTCTGAGAGTTAAGGGGCTGTGGAAGTAAACAATTCAGCTCCTTTATTTATTTATTTTTTAGTTTTTCTCATCGTTTGGTGCGACGGCTGCTTGCAGTATCACAAAGCAAAATGTAAATAAATAAATTGGTTGACAAGTTGTTACTTATGATTAGATGTTTCTTCAGTTAAGTTTCAAGTTTTTTCCATCCACAACCAGTCAAGTGAATCTTTATTGACAACACAAAATAACCATGATTTGTAGTTTGTTGGTGTCTTTTCAATCACAAGTCTACAGATGTTCATATCCCAAGTTTGATAAAAACGAAAACAATGCCATATCACTAATAACATCGTTACCATCTGCCTAGTTTTGTGTATGGAAGTCATTTGAGTGGCTTCAATTCAACCTCTTTAAGTGACTCTCTTTTAGGAAAAAAAACTTGACTGGTAAATTATGACTCGACAATTATTCATTTTTCTTTGTATATTAATAAAAACCTTCTTATTGTTTCTACTATTCATTTACTGTATAAATTTCCATCTGTAAAACAGCTTATATTAGGACAAAACTGAGCTGTCTCAGTTTTTGACTCCTTCAGGATCCTCATTTCTGTTGCAGGAAAATCATTTTAGTAAAAAGTGGTGACAGTGTAATTGCAAAAGTCTAAGTTCCTTTCTGTCAGCATCCTGTTTGATAAACTTAGTCAAGAAATATTAACCTTAATGTGAGAAGTATCTGACTGTATGTTATATAGCAAAAAATAAATAAAAATAGAACACATCTAAAATTAATGTAAAAATCACTTGATGTGTAGATTTATGAAAGAAACATACGAATGGAAACAATCAAGTATGCTGTATAAACAAAGTTACCTTTGATGAGTTACCTATTACTCTAAACAATGTGTTATTAAAATTTCCTGACATTGTACTGAAAGTTATACAAAACGGTTCCTTTTGGATCTTGTTAGATAAAAATCTAGCTTTTCATCTACTTGAATCCATTTTGGAAAATCTATGCAGGGCTGAAATTGAACTTTGATAGAAACATTGTTATTCACAATAATGTTCTCTGATGTAACTCAAGCTCCTTTCTCTGTAAACCCTGAGAAGTTTGAAAAATGACAGCTGCAAAACACACAAACACAAAGATTTGGAGAGTTATAAAAGAAGAGACCTTCGGTGGTTACAGTTTTTCCAACAATGGATCCACGGGAGTGAACACGCTGAAAGCACTCTACAGAGAGAGATGTTGTTATCCTTGTTCCAATATGTTGTTTTTCTGTACCTGACACTTCAACACAAAAATACTAATAACTCCACAGTCAGGTAAGTGTTTGGTAACAAGTCTGTATCAACAATTGGACACTTGGGTGGTATGTTCATGACCCCTTCTCTGCATATATTGTTTCTGCTTCACTGTGCAGAATGATTTCTGTAGAGTTTGACACTTAAGGATTGTTTCTCCATTCATCTACAGAAGGTGAAAGTTTCTCCATATCAGCTCTAAATCTAAAGTCTAAGTTGTGTATGTGTCAGAGCAGGACAAAAGTGACATCATGTGTAATTAAGGGGAAGCCAGGTCATGTGTACATCTAAAACAGGCGTCATGTGGAAATTTCAAGCCCATGAGGTGCTCAAAGAAAAAACTCTGTGGAGGAAGAGACATCTCAGAGGAGATTATCTACTGATGAAGAAGGCATTGATGCAACTTGGACCACTTTGATTCAAGACATGCCCCCTCTGGGTTTCATTAACAGCTCTTCATTAAACAATGATAAATAGTTGTGGTTACGCTCAAGGTTAAACGGCTTTTCTTCACCACTATTCCACACAGTGAATCCTCATTGGTGGATTCACGTTAAGGCTCTTTAACAAACATTATGAGGGTACTGTCTAGACCTGCACTATATGTTTGCTTAGTGCCATGCATGATATGCTGGACCTTCATTCCCTGGAGATGGTATACACCTGATATCATGGTAGGCAATGTCACAGAGGTCATACCCACAGCACGAGTGATAGAAATAATGCAAGAAGAGGAACATTTAGCTAGCACTGAGTAGCAGTGTCATTGTTCAGTCTTGAATGTTGCAAAAACACAGTATCACAAAATAAAGTTCCAATTGAAAGCTTGAATTTCAGAAATTTTAGTATCACAAAGCTGACTAGATAACCATGCTAACTTACAAAGCAAAGCTAAGCTGGTCTGGACCATAGACTGTACATAGAATGGACGCCGTCTGCTTCCTCGCTGTGTGAAGCCACCCGAGAACAGCACCCTCTGGTGACGGGATGCAGTGTGGGTCATAAGTGCCGCCTCCTCCAGCCATCCCTATGGAGCTGTGGACAAATTTTAGAAATTTATTACACAGAATCTAATTTTTTCTCCCCCCCGCTTGTGATATAGACATGTAGTTACTGTAAGACTGGTTTGTGCTCAAGTCCTCTTTTTTCTGTACAGCTACATTTTTAAAAGTTCATGTTCATGTTTTCTATGATTGACACTTGATACAGCCTATGGGTGTACAAAGATTGAGTAGCTCACCCGGGGATACGCTGTTTGAGCCGAGCGTCATCACAGCAACTCTCCTGCTGAATACATACAACGCTACTGTGCAATGCTGGTTTCAGGAATTGGAGAAAAATCGCGGTAACACTGAGAGCTTTTCAGCTTCAAATCTGTATAATGGTGGAAGGCAGAACCAAATTGTCCATAGCATATACGTCCTATGGTCTGGACCAGGTTACATTCAGAGTTTCACCTTTAAATAGGCCACTATTTCAATAACAATGGCATGGTATGGTAATGTTCTCTGTGTGCAGTTTGGACCATTTTTGTCTGCAGGCATTGTTTAGTGCAGATCTGGTCCATAAATGACAAGAAACTTGATCTCTGTCCACATGTTGATGTCTGGAGATAACGGTGTCTTCGGTAAACTTCAGGGATCTCCGTAGAGTCCAACTGCCTTTTATTTCAGTTGTCATGTTGTCGGACGTCTTGTCACTCAGTGTGACTGAAGCGGGTGTGTTCTGGCTGCCATGTGACATCAGTGCATACCCTCTATTGTTACAGGAACTATGAGTTCCTGTCTCACCCACTTTCTCACCCAAGCTGTTCATCAGGTGTGAAAGATAAAACAACAGCAAGGCATGACCCTGTTTCTGAAGAGGTAGCTATCACTCAACATTCAACATTCCTCTGGCACAGCATCACAGGTCAACTTTTCCACATGTCAATCTGTGCAGCTCAGATAATACAATGTGACGAGACTAAAATAGTCCATTACATTGATTCTGTCACACTGCACTACCAATAATTGCTCAGTCCTATCTTTGTCCTAAAATTACCCCTGAATGCTTTTGAGAAAAAGAACTGCCTTTAATCAAATGTACAGACTCACAAGTTCTACAGATGCCTCTAATGACCTCTCTGTGTGCAACACAACAACCTGTCTCAGTAAACAGACACTTAGGGCTAATCCACATCATTCATCATGTGGACTGACAAGAACAAGCTGCTGCACTTAATGCCCATTCAGTTATTGCTTCCTCTAGGACATTTAGATAACCATTATTTGCAGTCACTACAGTCTTAGATACAAAGCTATTTTTTTTTTGTTTAAAAAAAAAGAAAATGAAAAACACTGCCCATTAAGATTAAAACACAATTTAGAAGAATTAAACCTTTGAATCATATTATAAACATGGGACTGGATGAATTTATTGCAGCTAGTTTATCTGAATCATCTTAGTGAAAATGAGATTTTAGCTCAACAAGAGATAGAAACAACATACACCTTTTCATAACATGATATAATTTAAGTTAGACCATTTTATATTTTTTGAGCATTTCTTATGTTTTCTAATGATGTACATAGAGGTTGATAAGTTGTTTGGGAGGTGGTTGACTATACAATCTCTTTCCATGTGTGATAAACTTATCGGAAACAGTGATTTTGACTTAAACACGCAATTTAAACACGCAAACTGTAGTATATCAGTTGGGTAACACTTTAATTGATGCCTATCTCTATAACGCATTATAAATACATGTATAATTCTTTATAATCAAGTTAAAGCACTGAATAACTATAGTTATAAACACTCAAAAATGATCATAATGCTTTATAGCAATAATCATAACACATTATTAAGCATTTTATCGTGACTCACAAGGTCAGGTATTATCATGTGTTATAACCATTAACAACTCACTGACAATGCACACATAGACAAAGCATTATACATATATTTATGATGTGTTATAATTTGCTTATAAACTTGCATAACTATCATTTTAAACACTCATTAATGACCATAATGCTTTGTAGCAATAACCATAACACATTACAATACCTGACCTTGTAAGTCATAAGAAAATGCTTTAAAATGTGTGTATATGATTATTGCTGTAAAGCATTATGATCATTTTTGAGTGTTTATAACTATAAGTATGCATGGCTATAATGGGATTATAACTCATTACAAATATATGTATCATGCGTTATAGAGATATGCATCAAATAAAGTGTTACCATAAGTTGCACTACAGTTTTAACACAACACAATCAAATGCTTTTGCCAAGGTTTACAACTTAACTGCGCAAAGGTGATTAATTTCTTTGCATACACAGTCTGCAATTCACTGTATCTAGGGTTGGGTTTACAGGGGCAACAACCAGATGTACTCACACCTATACAAACTGGCAATTCAGATTTGGACAGAGAGAGGAGGCTGTACTGCCCAAAGGGAACCCACATATGCACAGGATGAACATGCAGACTTGAAATTTGAACCAAGATCCTTCTCGCTGTGTAGCAATACCTCTAATCATTGCACTACAGTGTGTCTATCTACGCTATTGATCCCATTCAGAGTCATGCCTATCCCAGCTGTCACTGTGGTCTCAGGTAGGTAAACCAACTATCACAGGGTTGGTCACTCTTGAGCACATATAATTAACTTGGTCCATATGATAAAACACATCATGCTTTGGGACTTCAGGAGCGCTGTAGTTTTCAAAGGTGTTTTTTTTTTTTTAACTGCAAAAATAATTTCAATGGATGTTTTATAAATGTTCACACTGAGGCACATTCTAACAATGAAGTGGCTCCTCTAATAATAAAAAGTATTCAGTATGTGCGTTTTGCTCCTAACAAACAGGAGAACAAAAGACTATCTCCAAGGTAACACCATACTTGAGGTGTCAACTGACAAAACATGTCAAATAAAGCTTTCTATTGTAGGTCTTGCATGGCATGAACAGTCTCTGTCTCTCTTCTATTTTCATGCCTGTACATGCTAAAAGAATGTCATGTTGCTGCGGTGAGGATGTGATGTACTAATTTGCACATATTTGGACAGATTAGTCCACTTTGTCTCTCTGATTTCTCCAGCTCCAGGCACAATGCCAGGACCCCCAACAAGAGTCGAGACATTTGCCCTGAGCCATTATGAGGACATCAGAATAGGAAGAAGCACATTAATCACAGAAAAAAAAACAGAAATGAAAAGATACCTTGGCGTCATGCCCAACACTTGTAGATAACAGCCAGGTCAGAGGTTAAGTTGTTCAAAGCTGATCCAGGGAGTCCATTTGGCTGGCTGGAGTGACTTTATTAGGCAGAAAAAAACACTTAATAGGGACTGATCAGTGAGTCAAGGTTATTGGTTCAGTTTAATTTTAACTGTGTGTACTGAATGCAAACAGAAACACAGACAGCAGTCTGACCTCATGAGACAGTCTGATATAACAAAGACAAAAACAACATGATATGTATCCAGCAGTTTCCTTTTAAAACGACAGTGCCACCCACAAACCGAGGCAAAAGAAGGCTAAAGCTCGGTGCCACACAGCATGGGCTCTTTCAAATGGAAATCTGCTCTCTCCCCCTCCAGACAGAGAGGATCAGAGAGTAAATAAGATGGCCCCATGTGATTCACCCAGGCAAAGTCCTGCTCTTTTTAAAATTGTCAATTTATAGGCTAAATGTAGAGCTCAGATTTAGGTTTAAGACTCAAATACAATTGGTAACGTCTGTATATATAATTTTAAGCATATTCTGTTTATAAATATATAATCTAACCTGTCATTATCTTACCTGTGATCTGAATTTGTACACCGCACATAAACATGTAAAATCTGTAGGTGGAGGGTCTGGATTTGAAATGTTCTGGTTTCTGTTTGGAAAGATTAGGTCAATCCAAGAAAAAACAGAGGCAAAAGTAGATAGAAGAGAATCCATGGCTCTTGTGGGAAGCAACCTGACAAAAATGTATGCATTTCCATAAAAAGATATCTGTATGCCAGCAGAGCAAACAACCCATTCCTGTTCAAAAAATGTCAACATCAGTAAGAAATCAGCTTGAAGCTTTTTCACTTATACAGCATTTAAATTTCCTGACTTCCTGGAATCCAACAGAAAAATAAGTGATCTGATTATCGTAAAATGATTCGAGTTGTTTTCTCTTCCCTTTAAGAACTTGACAAAGCAGCCATTTCTTCAGCATCTTGTATTTTCACATCTGCATCATGATGTTGTTTAGGGGCCAATTTAAGAATTGTTAAGTGCAACTAAATCACAAGAAAATTGGTTTCATATTTGGGTTCACATTTCTGAAGTTGTCATGAACAAAACCAACAGTGGGACCCAAATGCAGGACACAGACACAGCCCTCAAAGGCAAAAATCTGGTTTATTCAGTCCAGGTTCGGTACACAGTCGAGGTCGGGATCAAAGAAAACTATGAATACAAAGATTGCTGGAACGTGACGATGAGGTACAAACAACTGGCGACGAGACTGTGAGAGACATGAGGTTAAATACAAGAGGTAATCAGGGTGATGGGAAACGGGTGGGGAGACACAATCAGGAGGCAGGTGTGATAAGCAGGGGAAGGAAAGACAGGAACACATCTGAACCAGAGACAGGGGTTGGTGATCTCAAGTAAAAAACAAACAAGAAACACCAGACATTCAATGAAATGAGTGATATACAGACAACTTGACCATGATCATGACAGAAGTCAGTCAAAGTGAATCTTCTGGGTACCTTAAAGTCGCACTCAGATCACTTTTTTTTAATACTTAAAGTATTCTCAGTGGTCTTTAAATTGTGATTATGACGTTTTTACCAAAAATCTCATTACCTGTGTCATTTTTAAGGTCTGTTCTTCCACAGAGCTCCAGTAGCTCATTTGCAATTCGCCTCTGAGTCGTGGGCAGAGACAGCGCTGCTCTGCACACTCATCGTCGCGTTAGCTTGTAGCCTAACATTGCTGCTGTAGAAGAAGTAGCAGGTAAAATAGGAGCAATTCGGCTCTCAGACACTAATGTCTTTAGGGACACGATGGAAGCTATTATCATAATTAGCTTTCTTACAAGCATTGCAATCCGCTGACACATACGCTTGTTCTGCGATTGTCCTCTCTACTTTTGACTGTGGCCTGCATGGCAAGGCTCCGGTGGAAGTGCTTGGATTTGCTACGTGGGACATCTCACTGAATCTGTTCCTGTTGTTTGGGTCTGCCAGAGATTCACAGCGATTTGGATGCAGAAATACTCAGAAATGCAATTCGCACTTACTTTTACTCATGATATGTCCTGTAGCATCAGAAAAATGCTGTATAAACATGTAGGCAAGAAAAACATGATTTTCATCGGAGTGGGTCTTTAACATTTACGAACACCCCTGTGAACATCCAAAGCATTAAAACAGGTTTTAAGTGAATGCATCTGCTAGAAACAAGAGTTAACAGCATGAAAAAATTACTCAATAGCTTGTCTTTTTTGTCCATTTTAACCCACCATAGCTCTGTTGCCACTCCTGCGACACCATGATAGAAAAATAACACGCCATGATGCTTTTGAGTGGCACATTTCATTGGCAAACCTCCCAAGAAATCAAAAGTGACATGCATTTAGTGTCAAACTGAATTTAAAATGTCACTAATAGACTAATACTTCGAGCTACAAGCTAGGCATACAGAGCAGCATAAAACTCAGCGCACAACAATTTCAGAGTGAAAAGACAAAAAAGAGCACCTGCTTCAAGCCATGGAGCATCAATGCACAGAAGTATAGTGATTCATTAAGATCTGACTGTTATCATTAAGACTTTTATAGGAAAGGAACAAGTTTTTTTTCACATGGGTCGTTTCAAAACTGAGAAAAGTGTAAGTCAAGTTAAGAAAAAAAAAAAGAGTATCAAACCCGTCTCTCAAACCTTACATGTCAATTAAACATATAAAACATATATAAGGCTAAATTACCACAAGGGTACATCGCACTAAATACATTTCTAAAAGCCTTCTCAGGGGACTTTTTAATTTTTGATTTTACCGAAGTGTAAGTGGATCTGTTTTTACATTTTCCACTGGATGAGCATCCACAGGGCACTTTTTACACCACATATACTGAAGGATACCCAGAAGGCACAATTCTAACATTAAATCTGCTGTAAGGGCACTCAGAGGGCACTTTTTTGCATTTTATACCCTAAGGTAAATAAAGAAGGGCACTTTTACATGTAACATTCACTAGGAGGGCATCCAGAAGGCATCTTTATTTGTTTTATTTGTTGGAAGGGAATCTAAGGAGCAGTTTCTAGTGTTTTATATACAGAAAGGCCATCCAGATGGCTCTTAGTCATGTTTCATCCTTTGGAAAAACAGCCACTAAATCAATTTTTGAATGCATTTCCATTGAAAGAGCACCAGTGAGGGAATTTTATAATGATTTGATTGCAGTAAGGGGTGGCCAAGAGGGCACTTTTAACTTGTTTTTTCAGACATAAGGGCCACCCACCACTCCCAACACATTACTGAACATGTGAAATACACACAAAAAAATTAAGCACTAAGTGTTTGTTGATGTAATAGTTTGTAAAAACTGACCAACCAGACAATAGCAGCATGTTCCCACTGCTTTACTTGGTCTCAAGCTTCACAGGGTTATCATTTGTTTACATACCTTGTGTCTGGGGCCTGTTACATAAACGGGATTAAAACAAAACAAGTGCTGAAATAACGTACAGAAAATGTCATCCAAATTATGGTCCCTGATTTCATCTAACCTAAAAAACAACTTTGTATTTTTTCTCAGGCTCTCGTCTTTATCTCAAGGGTACCCATTATGATTTGTAGTATTATGCTAGAAGTTAATAATAGGATAACAAATGTCCCTCTCTGATGACTTTACAACAAATCTGTCAATGCACACTTCCCCATAACAATCCCCTACTTGTCTGTGATCAATAAGGAAATCAATGCCCCAGAGATTAGCTGGTGTGACTGTATTCTTTCCTGACGATTTAGAAAATGATAATTCTCCCTGAGACCCAAAAAATCTTTGACACACAAAAGGCCTTTTTGTGAAGCCAAACTACCAGGCCTTTTGATAGACCCTTTGATCACGTCACCATCTATCAAGCTGTTCTTGCCAGCAGCATTTCGTCTGACACACATTTTTGTTAAGAAATGGCACTCGGACTAGAAGAAAGTGAGTTTTCTTAAGCGTTAGAACAGAAACTTTTGTAGGCAGTCTGGGAAAAGGTGATATAGTGGCTGAGAAAATCCTTTCACCTAACCTTTCTCTCTGGCAGGCTACCCCTCATTGGCCCTGTTCTTCTGAGGGAGGATGATAAACAGCGAGGTGTCGGCCTACATTTTCCTGAGAGGAAGCGATACAGAGACCATGGCACGTTGGTTCCATTAATTACCATTTATCCGCAGTGAAAGTCTCACATTGAAACTTCCTGAACTCTCTGAACTCCTTCATTTACTCTGACACTTAGGTATTATTCTCCTTCTGCTTGAGTCCTATCGAAGATAAACTGAGATTAAGTAGAGTCTCCGATTGTCATGGGAAGAGCGGACACTTTAATGATTATGCAAACTCCTCTTTTAATCAACAGTCTTTTGAGAAGAGTGCCATTTTTCAGCATCTTGTCAAGGGGGTCACACATCCAAAGCAGTAAAGGACACACACAAGATTTTTTATTTTTACTTTATTTTTTTTCACTAGAGTTGTCGAATGTGTTAAATCTGTCAATTCTCTCTCACAAAAGAAATAAATTTTGCATGTTGTTTTGGCAAAATTTTTGTGTGATATTTTGACACATTTTTTCATTCTTATTTTTTGGTTACAAGATAATTTCCTCATATAAATCCAATAATCTTAAGTCAACCACAGCTGAATATATGATGGACATACCAATGACTGCAATGCCCTGTTTTATGTACTCTGTTATTTTGCATCTTCACAATTGTCATATTGGTTTTCTGAAGCCCAAAGTGACCACGTTATGACCAGAGGATGGTGCAAGAGATGAATAAAGATTCAGCAAAAGTAATGAAAGCCCTGTGGCTATGCATTAGCTGGTAAAAGAGCTTGTTGGCCATTGTGATTCCTTGAATGTATATCCATGGGTTACATCTGATAAGAGGAGCTTATTTTAGGGCTCAAACAGCAAAGAAAGCTTTCAGAGTATAGACCAGCTTCCCTTCATTCATCGACTTCTTTGAAAGGAGGGCAAGCTGAAAATAAATGCTAAAACCTTGGTAACCGAAAGAACCATGAC